TATTCCTCTAAAATCTGTTGTAATCCCCAACATTATTTAATGTCTCGTGTTCTTTCCTATTTTTTGTCAGGTCTGGTTATTACATTTTTTATTATTGAATGGATTGGTCGCAAGAAAACCATGGCAGTAGAATTTTTAGTTTTCTCATTATTTACTTTTCTTATATGTATATGTACAACCAGGTGAGTAGATTTTTATTAATACTCAGTGTTGATTGGCTGATTTGAATACGTACACCTGGTTATTGCCCAATTATATTGGAGCAATCTTGTGTCATGTATCAAGCATTATTATTTACATATTAAAGCGAGAGGGTCGTCACCTGCGCACGCACGGGAATCGAGTCCCAAGCGACTATATCAACACATGCTAAAAACGCAAAGGCTCATGGGTAGACACTTGTTTATAAACAATGACATGCTATGGCCATCTTGCGCATGTGCAGGTAACGACTCCCCCGCTTTAAATGGATATATCATTTTAGTTAAGAATGAATTTCAGGAAGGAATATTTTACCGTCTCAGTGTATCTAAACATTTAATTTCACTAGATTAAAGCGAGCTCAAAGCCACGGTTTATTCCAACTGTACTACATAATCTGCCGAAATTACTGTACTATTACCAATAGTCTTGTATTAGTAACATAGATGCATTTCACAAGGTATACATGTTGGAATTATGAATGAAAATAATTTTATTAAAATTTAGTAAAAAGTTTTTTTTTTTTTTTAAATAGAAAAGCCAACTGGGGGAGAGCCAATATGGAGATTACATTATATGACTGCGATTGTATATTGCCTTTAATACTCAGTGTTGATATCTTTTTCTTCCAGAACGGTTTTGACGATATTTTTATTTATAGCCAGGGCTTTTATTTCTGGTGCATTCCAGGCAGCATACGTCTACACTCCAGAGGTTAGTACAGTTGGAAATTAGGGATTGGCCATTGGAAACTTGGGGGGAGGGCAACTTCCCAGTTTGGGGAGGGATTGTTTGTATTTAGATAATGAAACTGCTGAATATTATTTTATTTTTGATAGTTTTTTCCCAGGACTGCACTAAATTTGTTGTTGTTTTGAAAATTGTCACACACACACACACACACACACACCCCTCCGAGATATTCTAATGGTTCAACCCACATTCCCAGTCTTTTCATCATATATCTGCTTCTTCTTGTAAATTGTTTCCTCAATTTAAACACTCAAAAACATGTAATTCAGAAAGTTGGGCATCATCCAAAGCTTCCTTTATATATTTTATTGTTCCAAGCAAATTCATTTTGCAAATTATAATTGCTTTCTTGCTTCTACAGAGAAATATGCAAGTCATATTTATTTGTTTTTGACTGAGAGTTATAGTATAACTTCAATAACCTAATATTTTGTTCGAGATAAAGTATATTTTTCATGTTACATAAGTGAAATATGATCCTTATTGTTTTTTTCCCAGGTTTATCCAACCACGGTCAGAGCAATAGGTCTTGGTGCGTGTAGTGGAATGGCGAGGGTTGGTGCGTTACTGACACCGTTCGTAGCTCAGGTATGTCAATACCATTATTCCTTTATTCGCTTAACTTCTCAATCATAATTCCTATGTCTGATTCCACAGGGAATATGGAATTGCCATACTGTGGCTCTAGAGGGTGTATATTTATTAGTTCAAAGTTAAAAACATTTTGTGATCATATTTGTATTTTGTTGTTCTAGGTCATGTTGAGGATATCCGAATATTTAGCTATCTCCATATATGGAAGTGTATGCATACTTGCTGCAATCGCGTCAATGATGTTGCCGATAGAAACCAAAGGAAGGGCTATGCACGTAAGAAATGTCATACATACTTGAAAACATTGGGGATAATTGTATTGTTTAGTATAGTGTTTATTATTATTATTTTAATGACATGTGGTATCTACCACGACAGTCTTCTTGGACTTTAATATAGGGCTGTTTTTTTGGCTCGATTAGAAGTTTGACCAGAAGTTTATTTAATTTTTTGAACCATTTATATTGACTTCATCAAATCCAAAGACAAGTCATTGATGTGACACAGGCCGTGTCATGCAATAGTAAACAAAACTGAAACTAAGTTTGAAAGAAAGCTTTTGCTATACAATCAAGTTCTGGTTTCAGAATAACAGAAATCTTGATTTGGATGAAACACTAAAATGACTGCCATTCAGTCATCTTGAATCAGATGATGACATAAATACATGCATCTCTGTAAGGCATATGTGTGAAGGTTGAATGTGATTGGTCCAGGCATGTTCATAGTACAGGTGTGAACTGCATATAACTGTGCAATTATTGTAATGTCTGGGTGGATACACAGTCATACCATTATCGTAGTTGCCCGACTATAAACCCCTCTGGGAAAACGACAAATAAAAGTTAAAACTTTTCCTGAGCGATAATTTATGCTAATTTATTCATAAACAAATCGCCGTGTGTACGATACTAGAGTGTCTCCATCGACTAGCACCGTCCAAATTAACTTGAGGATGGGTCGTTACGCCCCAGGGTCACTAATCACTTTTGGGTGCGTTTACTAAATGGAACAGCATTCGACCCTGCGTTTCACATGGATATTGGTCTGTACATTTTGGGGACCAATTGTGCACTGTTCAATTTTCACATTTTAAAAATGCCCAAATTTTGTTTACTCATTCATGTGAACGCTAGTTAGAACATGCCGAGTACACAAAATATACAGTTGTTGATGAGTGGTCATAAACATTTGTGAGAACACCACTGAAACACTCTGTGGTCGAGTTGGTAACATGTGTAGCAATTACAAATAGTTACGGCTGTACAAAAAAAATAAACAGAATTAGTTTTTACTGTTGAATCGATGAGGCCGTATGATAAATAGGAATACCCTGTATTAGAATTTAAATAAATGATATTTCTATATATATAGATATCATGTATCGATTGGTAATCAAGTAGAAATTAACATTATGAAATATGAATATCATTCAATCGAATAATTATTTTTCCCATCTGTAGGAAACTCATTCGGACAGTCGTAAAAGTGGTGCGGAAGAAGGCGCTCCAAACAACTAAGAAGAATACTGCCCGATTTAAAAGTATACACTCAACTTTTTTTTAAATGACTTTATTTTATATATGTTCATTATACTGACTTACTCGTTACTAATTTATTGTCTTTTACTGATATGTTCTGTTTTGGCAAGATAAACGTCACTTTGTCTTAAATTGCAATTCTCAACATTCTTGGTTCAAAAAGAACTTGGAAAATTGAAAATGAGAAATAATCTGCTTTCGCAGACATCATCAGGAAGTGCTGATAAGCAAAGGCTGACCCACTCATGGTTTTAATGAACAAGTATATTGTTGTCAAGTTTTTGTCAAGAGATGAGTTTATAGATAGTTTATGTTTTATTTTAACTACAATTTTAAAGCATCATTTTTGTCACGCTGATCGCATTCTAATTACATATAAACAATTGATTTATCTTGCATGATGTCGCATTGGGGTCGCATGAAACATACTATGATATACGACCGGATTGAGCATGCCACGGTGTTGTCTCCATGGATCAAGGTGTTGGGCTATATCAAATACAACTAGTTTTGATCGGTATCAAACACGTCATGGTGTGAGCCCCTATCGAATATGCCTTGGTGTAGTTCAATATCAAAGACGCTGTGGTGTGGCCCAAATTGTACAAGACATAGTACAACGACAATGGTGCTTTACTATTCACTGTAAATAGTAATTTATTGTATCATGTATGTAATTTATTGATTTATAGCAAATGCAATGCATTAGAGATACTTCCATTAGGCATTGTTTTTGCTGATTTCACCAGGTAGCAAAAATAAACTCCAAGTGAGAAGTCATCGCTGCAGTGGTTTTAGAAAGTAAAAAAAGAAAACTTAAAAATTATGTTATCAATAATGCAATATGGCGATACTCCCATAACGCATTCCACTTTAAAGATTTGTAATTGCTGCTCAATAGTCCACGCTGTAGACACATTTACTTTTGCAGAATTTTGTCCTTGGAGATGCTTACAAATTTTGAAAATTCTGAAAGTGTAAATTCAATGAAATGTAATTATATATTAAATTACCGTACATCTTCAGGGTTCGTCTACCTACACGATTGCACAAACATTGCTGCAGCATACACCCCCCCCCCCCCGAAAAAGTAGGTGATAGAATTATATTTACAATTGTGAAGTGGTAAGCTATTGTTACTTATCGAAAGAAAAGCAATGTTCATTTCAACATTCCAATGTTATCGTTTTAATAGTGTTGTAATCAAAAATCAAAAATGTCTTCTCTTTAATATAGAAAGTTTACAAATACAAGATTATACAAACCAAATTGGATTTGAATTAACTTCAACAGTGAATAGCAGACAGAGAAACAATATTAAATTTGAGTTGATAACTCAGCATTGTTCCTATAGTAATTTGAATTGAATAACCAGAATTGTTTTGGGGAAATTTTATGTTAGGACGGAATAATCTTGTATGTAAGAAAAGAATACCCTCTTCAAAAGGAAAAAAAAAAAACTTGCACTAACCTACCAGGCTGATTGTATGATATCTCAAGTAGCGTATAGTATTCATGTGCAAATTAAGAATTGTTAGAAAAATATGTATATATTGATAAATTTCATTTACCAGTTTACAGCTACCGGTACATCCGGTTTCCAAATACTTAAAAGTATATTATATTATATTTATGAAATTAATTTTTCAGTCAGCAAAAACAGGGTTTATTTGTGCTACTTATAATAGTTCCAAAAGTTTTGCCGTCACTATCATTATATAATGTCAATATTTATTTTGTTCAGTTAAAAATTAAATTATAATTGTAGCTCAGTTAAGTTGAGTCAAGTCGAGTCAGTACGAAATGACTTTTGAACTGTTCGTAGAGCAACAAGATATAAATTTACTGTACATAGCCTGATATATAAAGAATGATTTCAGTTTGTCCATTGATTTATGATCATTATATTTAAATTTCATTTAAAACCTCAAAATAACAGTCGAGAATCTTATTGCAGCAACCAATTATCTTACCGTCGTCCATTTAGTGATTAGCCTTGCGCAAAGAGGGCGGCACAAACTAACGTCCCAGTAGTAGAATCACAACCTTTCATTTAAATCTACATTTATGCCGATAAAATATTGAAGTGCGGTGGTCGTCGTGCAGTGTGTGTTCGAAATTCATGCAAACAAATACTGCGTTGGTAATCTGAAATGAATGTATAATGATAATGCATTACTATAATAATTAATTTTGTTAGACATAAATTAAAAAAAAAAAACTGTGTACGGTAGTTTTTATTTTTATTTTATACCGGTACATTCCTATCTCCATGTGAATCTATCTTCCTCAGATCATCCCTGTTGTGTTTTCAGTATCTTGGCAGGAAAGACCGATTATGGTTTGATTTCAGGGTGACTTGCATAGTCTACCAAAGGACAGGCGCCCTCTATGGCACTTACCTTATGCAAATTTCTCTTATGTCAGACAATTCTAGGTATATTTCATAATCAACCAATCAGTTGTTGCTTTGTAACAAACAGATAATAGGAAATGTGTTTTTGTATTGTAAACAGTTTGATTTCACAAGAGTTTTTCCGATTCAATAATAATTCTGCTAGCAATAATTATTTAAAATACTACGTAGCAAAATGTACAGGAATTTGTACTGTAGAGAGTGCTTACCTACCCTAACAATTCAACTTAAACAGAACTCCACTTACAACATACTATGAAATATATTTGCCATTGAACAAGAGTATCAGCTTTTTCAAAACCATGTGTAATCCCACTTTTTATCTGGACTATCATCAAAACCAGCACCATTGCCAGCTATTGTTACTGACTAGTTTGCCATGCAATCCTCTAGATCATTAATATGTTGTTGAATCAGAACTGTTCAGTAAAGTGCGTGCAGTTTACAAGTAATCAGGTTTTTTTTTTAAACGAGGGAACAGGGGCGCAGTGTCTTCATGCTATGGCCATGCGCCCCCTTACCCTGGGGAGCAGATTCTTATTGACCAGGGATCACATGTGGCCACAGTCTTCAACTGTGACCTGTCTTATAGTAATTTTGGCCCCCAAGGAAGCCATAGAATGCTCCATTTTAACTTAGAATTATCAAAAACTCCACCCTGGTATAGAGAGAACCCTATCTCCCCAACTTGGTTGCGTCGCTGAATTTCAGTGCTCCCTCTTGCAGTTTTTTTCTAGAAAAACCTCCGAGTAATTCAAATTTGATTTACTAGTTTATGTAACACACTAGAGACTGCGTCCCCGCACACTCTATTTAATTATTTGGGAGAGGGTTCATTTGTCATATATCTCAATTTACACAATATGAAATAAATTGAAGATGAATTGTATCTTTTATTGATATTCAACCTGTCCTTTAGTATTAGTTTGACGTTTCCAGTTAATTGGGGTCATTATCAAGTCGAGCTCATGTGTTCCAATCTGCATATTGATTGGATGTAAAGTATCTCTTAATATAATGAAACAGTTTGACTCTACTAGTTTTAATCATATACTGATCTCAAGTGGTATATACTAATGTTGCTGTTTCGGTGTTCAAAACAATATAGTGATGGCGGTTATTAAAGTGAAATTCAAATGGAGAGACATTTGCATAATAATATGCATTTTTTTTATTTTTAATGCAATGTTATGACTATTAAATGTAGTCATGTTTTGTTATGTATGTACATGTATTATTGTTTTGTACAGTCAGAATAAAATATATATTGTACAACCAGTTCCACGTGTCAGAGTTTTATTTATTTATTATTTTATTTTAATTAATTTCAACATTCACTGGTAACAAAGATGGTGTAATCAGACTGATGCTATTTCTTTAAGCTGCACGTGTTTAGGCCACAGCTGCTTTTCCTAACCAAGGTTTTGCAGAGTGTTTTCACAGAAAATTGGCTAAATTTAACATTTATTTTAATTTACAATGAAAATATAACAATGTTTGCATGAAACTTAATGGGAGGGGGGTGTTAAAATTGACAACGACTACAAAAAAGTTTACCTTGCAGTGTTTACCTCATTATTTTCATACATTGTATACATTTTTGACAGTATCAATTTACTTTCATGAATAATTTATGGCAATATATTTTCTTAAATTAAAATACATGTACACTGAACAAATTTGACATATGAAGTATTATATTATACCAGTTGCATCAATACATGGGGCATTATGCAACGTTATCCATGGGATATGATTTCTAAGTTACGCCCTAGAATATGAATACCAAATATTGATACTAAATCTTTTGAAAATTGGTTTTGATTCTGTTTTATGCTGATAAAAACAACCATGAACATTATGATATACAGAAAGTTTGTTAAATGAGAAAGTCACTTGGCCGAAAAGGAGTAAGCAAAACCAGTATTAATAGTCTGATGTTTGCACTAGTTCTCTCATACAAGCATCGCTGCTTTTGACCAATTCATCCAGCCTAGCTGTGCAAAGTTGTCAAAGCATACAGTGCTATTCGCAACTAATATTTTTTCAAAAATAGGTTTATTATGACGACATCAAATCTATTAAAATCTCCGCAAAGAAATATGATTTTAAGATGAACTTAATTTCAACTACAGCATGTTAGAATTTATGTTATCGAAAATGGAAAAATGCTTGTTCCAGGGCCTACTGTTTTTTCTTGTTCTTTATCACTTCATTGTTGTTTCGATCACTAAAAGCTATGGGGAAAATAATACTGTTATAATAGCAATAATCCCTGCCAAAGCACAATTTACTCCACATATGCACTCGCGTACATGTACGCCCCAGCTTGTGTATATACACATATAGAGGAAGGGAGGGGGTATTGCTTAAAAATATGCTATATACCAAATGCAAAGAAGATGGTATTCACAAGATATCTTGAGTTCTTTGAAATACTGAACTAGGGAGGAGATTGGAGATCTTTGAAATACTGAACTAGAGAGGAGATTAGAGAGGTCTTTGAAATACTAAACTAGAGAGAGGATTAGAGAGATCTTTGAAATACTGAACTAGAGGGGGATTAGAGATTTTTATAACAAACTTAGAAATATTTAAAACAACAAAATAGTGGATTTAGAAATACTAGAAACATCAAACCAGATTAATTATAGTTGTGTGTATAAATGGCCAGCAAAGCTACACAATATATCACGATAACGATAACTTGTCAACAAGTTGTGTAAGAGAACAAAACAAACAAAAACTAGTAACAAATCTGAAAAGACTTTTTTGCTGGAATTTATAAAACATTCAAACATTTAAGAAGTTTCAGCTCAGCTCAATATTATAGAACTAAGTAACATCATAAAACTTATGACCATAGAGGGCGCTAGATAAGTACCGCTATCTTCAGAAGAAGTCTCATCAGAAGTGGATAGCCCCATGGCTGATGGCTCACTGGCGGTGACAGAGCGGCCATTGAGTTTCTGGACTGGTCTGAAGTTATTGATCAATTGACGAAGTATCATTTCTTTGCCATCTTCACCGTCATCAACTTCAGGTTCAGGGACGTAAGTGTCGTTATCAGCACTGCGTTTCTCTACTTGGATGGTTTCATTCATCTTTTCAAGTTCCTCCAGTAGTAAAGTGTCGTTCTGTGACGGGTCTGTAATATATTCATCTGGCCTGTTAAGCAGCATTTCACGGAAGAACTGCATCTGCAAAAACAAGTTAACAAATGAATATGTGTAAAAAACCTGGATTTATAAGGGTCACACTTACATGCATCAGAGCATATTAAAAAAACACACGGACACTAGCAAAAATCATCTTAACAATTCGTGAGAGAATTTGCAATCATAAACAATTTTCAAAAACAGATTGATTGTTTTATGCCCAAACTACTGGTAGTCAGTGATATGAAGATAAAACATAGTTAAAGGGTGACGGTCGTCGCGCTGTGCATATGTGACATTTGTGTTGATAACACATTGATTTTCCCACAATCCAATGCGCTCTTCTAATGGAAATCACAAGTATGAGGCTTGACCTGGGTGCAACTTGTACTAATTACCGCTGGTGACTTTTTCGATACCTTCCAATCACCTAAAAATACCTAATTAAAGCTTAGTAACGTCTCAGTTTGTACTCGTTGATCTGCCCATCTTTGATTATATGAGACCCATATATCTCGCGCATGCGTGGCACGACGACTACTGCCCTTTAAACTACACATGGCTTGCCCTGTATTTGTAGGGGGGGGGGGATCATAGCATAAGGTGTGAAATGGACTACAAAAAGTAGGGAAGATCATTGGTGTATACAGATTAACCCTATATATAAATTTTATAGCAATTACCTAATTAGAATGTAGAAAAACAAATTATGGAGTTACACATAATGTCTCTTTAAAAGTGTACAGTATAGTGTGCAGTTATGTACAGCAACACAAAAACAAAAGTGTTGTTATCCATGCTGTTAATTTAAGCTGAATGATCTGGACCTTATATTAACAAAGTCAACACTAAGCATTATTATGCAAAAAAATATACTGAGAATATAGTGGACAATGAATTTCAATCAAACAGGTTACCTGTCGTTGAGATATTCTGACTGGCTCTTTAAAGACTGTCCATAAGACGCTTTCGTAGCATGGAGGAGTCGTCAGCGATCCTTCGTATCTGTAGAAAACGTTCCTCTTATTTGACATTAATGGGTGTATAGGAAACGTTTTCTGGTAATCATAAACTTCACCTGCAGAAATAAACATAACTCCAAGTTATTGTTATAATAGCCAAATTTCAGGTTATAAATGACTGGTTATAGAATTGACACTGTGACAGGCATGTATTCAGTTACGTAAAAACCAGGAAACTATATTACATAATCATTTTTTTGTTTATTGTTTTGTTTATCTTAAAGCTAGAGGGTGGTCACCTGCGCACGCGCGGGAATTGAGTCCCAAGGAACGATAACAACACATGCTAAAAACGGCTCATGGGTAGATGCTTGTTTATAAACAATTACATGCTATGGCCATCTGACGCACGCGCAGGTGACAACTCCCCCGCTTTAATTTCCTGTGTATTTCACGTCTTACATCATCATTTCTTGTATATTTCTCATCTATGTCATTTTTTATTTCACATCTTACATCATAACCTCTTGTGTAGCTCACATCTTACATCATCATTTTTGTGTATTTCACATCCTACATCATAATCTCCTGTGTATTTCACATCTTACATCATCATTTCTTGTATATTTCTCATCTTATATCATTTTTTATTTCACATCTTACATCATAACTTCTTGTGTAGCTCACATCTTACATCATCAGTTTTTTGTGTATTTCACATTTTAAATCATAACATTTTGTGTATTTCACATGTTACATCATCATTTTATATCATTTTATATCAGGCTTGCATGCATGTCAGATCTACATACAGTAAGAAAAACAGAGACGTGACATTACAATTGAAGAAAAACACTTACCATTGAATTCCACTTCATCCATCCCATCTATAATTGCATTGTACCCATCATTATTTTTTTTACCAATCTGAAATTAAGATTTAATTATTGAGAAAAAAATCACTATGACCTACTGCGGTAACTGCAATTTGCTCTTTCACCAGTCGCTGTGATTGCAATAGCCTCATTCACAAGCTATGCAGAAATTGGCTTTTACCTATCAATGTGACTACAATTGTCTCCTTCACCAATCACTATGACTGCAATTGACTCTTTCACCAATCACTGTGACTGCAATTGTCTCTTTCACCAATCACTATGACTACAATTGTCTCCTTCACCAATCACTATATTACTACAATTGACTCTTTCACCAATCACTATGACTGCAATTGTCTCCTTCACCAATCACTATGACTACAATTGTCTCTTTCACCAACCACTATGACTGCAATTGACTCTTT